TTTTTTTCTGATTTCCTGTGGATTTCAGGGAGTTTTCCTCTGGATTTCAGGGAGTTTTCCTCTGGATTTCAGGGAGTTTTCCTGTGGTGTTTTTTTTTGCTGATTTCCTTTGGAATTTCACTGTTTTTCTGTGGCTTTCAGGGCGATTCCTGTGGGGCTTTTTTTTTGCTGATTTCCCGTGAATTTCAGTGAGTTTCCCCTTTGATTTTTTTGCTGATTTCCTTTGGAATTTCACTGTTTTTTGTGGATTTCAGGGCGATTCCTGCTCCTTCCGGCACTGCGAGGCCGCCCTGGGCAGCGAGACCGTCTGCACGCTGTGGCAGGAGGGGAGGTGCTTCAGGAACATCTGCAGGTTCAGGCACATGGAAATCGATGTGAGTGCCCCCCAAAACCCCTCTGCTCACCCCAAAAATCCCTGCCACACCCTCCCAGGGATCTGGGGGCGTTAATACCCTTCCCCAGCAGGGATTTGGGTTACCAGGAGGGAGGTAAAGGAGGAAAAAAATTGATTTTTGAGGTGTTTTTCTTGTGTTAAATGATGTTGTTCCCTATGTTCCATGTGGATCCCACTCTTTAAATGTGGTGGGAAAAAAAAAAACCTGGGAGATGGAATTTTTCCCTAAATTTTTTATCCTAAGATGGAATTTTCCCCAAATTTTTTATCCGAAGTTAGAATTTTTGCCAGATTCTTCATCCTGAGCTCTTGGAATTCCTAAAAGCTGGAATTTTCCTCAATCTTTTTTATCCTGAGCTGGAATTTCTTCCCAGATTTTGTATCCTGAGCTCTTGGAATTCCTGAGAGCTGGAATTTCTCTCTAAATTTTTTATCCTAAGCTGGAATTTTCCTCAAATGTTTTATCCTAAGCTGGAATTTCTTCCTAAATTTTTTATCCTGAGTTCTTGGAATTCCTAAAAGCTGGAAAATCTCTTTAAATTTATCCTGAGCTATTGGAATTCCTGAGAGCTGGAATTTCTCTCTAAATTTTTTATCCTGAGCTTTTGGAATTCCTGAGAACTTGTATTTCTCCCTAAATTTTTTATCCTAAGCTGGAATTTTTCCTAATTTTTTTATCCTGAGCTCTTGCAGTTGTACAGAGTAAAGATAAAAAAAAAAGATGGGAAGGAGCTAAAGCTATGCAAGATAAATTCAGGTGGATTTCACCAACAACTGAAATCTGAAAATTGACTTTTTTCTCTGGGAATAATCCCATTATTTTGAATTTTATTTTAATTTAACCCCATGACAAAGCAAAACTTGATTTTTTTCCTTTGGGAATAATCCCATTATTTTGAATTTTATATTAATTTAACCCCTCGATACCATCCCGCTGAATGAAAAAACCCAGCAAAATTCCGATTTTTCCCCTCTCTAAACCTTTTCCTTGTTAACAGAGCGAGTGGGATTCTCCAGGAGGGAATTCCCTGAGTTTGGATTTATGTTTTTTTCCCAGAAAAAGAGGAGTGAGATCGCCTGTTACTGGGAGAACCAGCCCGGGGGCTGCCAGAAGCACAACTGCGCCTTCCACCACGCCAAGGGCCGCTACGTGGACGGGCTCTTCCTGCCCCCCAGCAAAAGTCAGTTTTCCATCTCATTTTTCCCTAAAATTGCTAAAAAATCATGGGGAATATTGCTTAAAATTAGCTGGATGTGGGTCTGAGCAAAAGTCAGTTTTCCATCTCATTTTTCCTTAAAATTGCTAAAAAATCATGCTGGAAATCCAAGAATTCATGGGAAGTATTCCTTAAAATTACCTGGATGTGGGTCTGAGCAAAAGTGAGTTTTCCATCTCATTTTTCCACAAAATACCCAAAAATTCATGGGGAATATTCCTTAAAATTACCTGGATGTGGGTCTGAGCAAAAGTGAGTTTTCCATCTCATTTTTCCACAAAATACCCAAAAATTCATGGGGAATATTCCTTAAAATTACCTGGATGTAGGTCTGAGCAAAAGTGAGTTTTCCATCTCATTTTTCCACAAAATACCCAAAAATTCATGGGGAATATTCCTTAAAATTACCTGGATGTGGGTCTGAGCAAAAGTGAGTTTTCCATGTAATTTTTCCTCAAAATACCCAAAAATTCATGGGGAATATTCCTTAAAATTACCTGGATGTGGGTCTGAGCAAAAGTGAGTTTTCCGTCTCATTTTTCCTCAAAAATACCCAAAAATCCATGCTGAATATCCAAGAAAAGAGAGACTTTTGCAGTCGGGGGAAATTTCTAATTTTAAAATTTTTTCCTTGCTTTTTGCTTGGTGATTTTTGCTTTTCAAGGTTCCTTTTCCCTTCTCCTTTAATCTCTTTATAGGTGGGGTTACAGAATTCAATCCATTTATTCTTAAATTTTCAACTTTAGCCTCAAAATCTGGGATATTTTTCCTTTCCAGCCACTCTTCCTGAAAGGCAGATTTGCAGTCAGAGGAAAGGAGCAAAATACCAATTTTAAAATTATTTTCTTGCTGATTTTTGCTTTTCAAGGTTCCTTTTCCCTTCTCCTTCAATCCCTTTATGAATGGGGAATACAGAACTGAATCCAGGAATGATTTATTCTCAAATTTTCAACTTTAGCCTCAAAATTTAGGATATTTTTCCTTTCTAGCCACACTTCCTGAAAGGCAGATTTGATTTGCAGTCAGGGGAAAAGGGCAAAATTCTAATTTTAAATTTTTTTGGTTGGTGATTTTTGCTTTTCAAGGTTCCTTTTCCCTTTTCTTTTCAATCCCTTTATGGGTGTGGAATACAGAACTGAATCCAGGAGTGTTTTGTTATTAAATTTTCAATTTTATCCTCAAATTTCGTGCTGTTTTTCCTTTGCAGCCACCCTGCCAAGCCCCCCCGAGGCTGCAGAGGACGAGGTGAAGCTGGTGCAGCTGCAGCAGAACAAACTCTCCGTTCAGTCCAACCCCTCCCCGCAGCTCAGGGGGGTGATGAAAGTGGAAAATTCAGAGAATGTTCCCAGTCCCACCCATCCCCCTGTGGTCATCAACGCTGCAGATGATGATGAAGATGATGACGGTGAGAAATCTGTAATTTATTTTGAGTATTTATGCTTGAAATCGGAATAAACATCACAAAAATTTGGGATTTATGCACCAGTTTAAGCTGGAGAAATGAGCAATAAATATTTTTAAGGATTGAAATATTAAACCACCTAAAAATTATTGTTCAATCTTTACTCTATAAATGATTTTATTTTGGGTTTGATTTTCCCTTCCAGACCAGCTTTCTGAAGAAGGAGAAGAAACCAAAACCCCAGTGCAGCCCCCAGCCACAGAAACCCACAATGGGCTGAGGGTGATTTCCACCAGGAAATCCAATCCCACTGCAAAGCAAGGTATTCCAGGGGCTTGGAGAGGGAATTTCACAGCTAAAAGCAAAATATTCCCAAAATCAAACAGAGCCCAGGGATGCTGGGTGGAATCCAGGAGTCCATTCCCACCTCACCACCTGCCCCCAGGCAGGGGAAAACCTCCTGGGTTGGTTTTCGGGGAGGAAATGGAGTTTAAAGTGGGATTTAAATGGAGTTTAGAGTGGAGTTTAAATGGAGTTTAAAGTGGGGTTTAGGGAGTTTAGAGCGGAGTTTAAATGGAGTTTAGAGCGGAGTTTAAATGGAGTTTAGAGCGGAGTTTAGGGAGGTTTAAGTGGAGTTTAGGGAGGTTTAAGTGGAATTGGGAGAGGTTTAAGTGGAGTTCAGTGAGAGTTTGGGGTGGAGTTGAAATAGAGTTTAGAGTGGAGTTAGGAGAGAGTTTGGAGTTGGGAGAGAGTTTAAGTGGAATTGGGAGAGGTTTAATTGGAGTTTAAATGGAGTTCAGGGCAGAGTGTAAATGGAGAGTGGAATTGAGAGAGTTTAGAGAGGAGTTTAGGGAGGTTTAAAGTGGAGTTGGGAGAGGTTTAAAGTGGAGTTTAGAGACAGTTTAGAGTGGAGAGAGAGATAGAAGTGGATTTGGGAGAGGTTTAAGTAGAATTGAAAGAGTTTTGAGTGGAGTTTAGGGAGTTTAGAGTGGAGTTGGGAGAGAGTTTAGAGAGGAGTTGGGAGAGGTTTAAGTGGAATTGGGAGAGAGTTGAAAATGGAGTTGGGAGAGTTCAGAGTGCAATTAGAGGTTTAAAGTGAAGTTTAGGGAGGTTTAAGTGGAATTGGAAGAGGTTTAAAGTGGAGTTGGGAGAGAGTTTAGAGTTTAAATTGAGTTTTGAGTGGAGTTTAGGGAGGTTTAAGTGGAGTTGGGAGAGGTTTAAGTGGAGTTGAAATGGAGTTTGGAGTTAGGAGAGAGTTTAAATGGAATTGGGAGAGGTTTAATTGGAGTTTAAATGGAGTTCAGGGCAGAGTTTAAATGGAGTTTAGAGTGGAGTTGAGGGAGATTTTAGTGGAGTAAAAGGGAGGTTTAATGTGGAGTTGAGAGAGACTTTAAAGTGGAGTTTAAATGGAGTTTAGAGCAGAGTTGGGAGAGAGTTTAGAGTTGAGTTTAGGGATGTTTAAGTGGAATTTAGAGAGATTTAATTGGAGTTTAAAGTGGAGTTGAGAGAGAGTTTAAATGTCTGCAGTGTCCCTTCTGGCATTGTGGAAATCCAGATCCAAGGAATTCAGGAATCTTTAATCCATCTCCATGACTTTGTGCTCAAAAGTGTGGATTTTCCCTTGGAGGGTGAAAAAAGCTGCCAGTTTTCCAAAATCCCCCCTTTTTTTGGGCTTTTTGCCTCCTGGGGAATGTTGGCAGGGTTTATTCCCAATATTTTGGGAAGGATTTACCTCCATTTCCTGAACTGTTCTGTGCTTCCAGATGACAACTTAAATTTTGGAATAAAAACCTTGGAAGAGATCAAACTGAAGAAACTCAAGGAAAAAGCCAAAAAACAAGGTGGTGAGTTAATATCCCTAAAATCCCTCCTTATCCTTCTGCCTTTTGTTCATCCTTGGCTTTAATCCTGATTTTCCTTGGATAATTGCAAGAAAATTAAATTTTTTTTTGCAAATTGGGAGATCCTACAAGGACAAACTTCCATTTTTTTTTAGAGGGGCTATTCTGGTATGTGGCAGCTGGTTTTGCTACTTGGAATTCCAAGGAAAATTGTTAAATATCCTGATTTTTCCATGTTTTTCCATGCAGAAGGTCCTTCAGGAGTGGCTGTGGAGCCTCTCCAAGCCCGGAGCATTCCCGTGCCAGAGAAGGAAAACGTCCGGACCGTGCTGAGAACTGTGACCCTCTCCTCCAAGGAAGGTAATCCCAAATCCCCAAAATTCCCATTCCACTCAATTCCCACTCACTCAATTAGGATAATTACCTTAATAATCCTCAGATTGATTATTAGGATAAATATCCTAATAATTATTATTAATAATAATTAGGATAATTAATTATATCCTATTTTATTTATTTTATTATATTATTGTATATTAATTATATATTAGTACATTATATTATTTATTATCTATAAAATTTTATATTGTATATACTATAAATATATTATTATATATTTATATAAATTGTATACATATAAATATATATTCTCTAATATAATATATATTTTATATAATATATATGTTTTTGTATTATATAATATATGCAATATATATTATATATTTATATATGTTATGTTATATTGTATTATGTTATGTTATATGTTATTATATTATATGTTATTATTAATAATAATGTTTAGGATAGATATCCTAATAATATTAGGATAAATATCCTAATAACCCCGAGTTGCACTGCTGCCTTTCCTGATTGGAATTTCAAAGGCTGTATTGGAAAAGGGTTTTTTTTGTTGTTTCTTTTTTTGTTTGCTTGTTTGGGTTTTGTTTGTTTATTTTTTGGGATAAGGGGATTTGGAATGCTTTTGGTGCACTGAAATGTGATTTCTTGTTTTAGGGGAGGACCCTGTGATCCAGCTGAACCTTCCTGACAGACTGGGAAAAAGGAAAGCCCTCATGGGTGAGAAACTCTGTGAAATATTTACATCAAAACCAGAAAATTCAGTTAACAACTAAAAACCAAAACTATTCCAAACTCATCTGGGAGGATTCAGGTTCCTGGGGATCGTTCTAAACCCTCCTGCAGAGGAAGATTCTGAAGGAATTTCTCATTTTTTGTCTTCCCAAAGGTGGGAAAACTTTCCTGCCCCTGAGGAGGAGCGTTGCTGACAGGCTGGGCAGGAAGGCAGAGCTGCAGGAAAACGCTGAAAAGGCCCCAAAAAGAGGCACAGGTACCAAAACCAGCTGGAATTCCCACCTGGAACCTGGCCCAGCTGTTCTGGGGGGATTTTCTGGGATTTGCTCTTGGGATTTTCTCTGTTTGGGATTTTCTGGTTTGTATTTTCTGTCCAGCTTTTCTGTTTAAGGTTTTCTGTCCAGCTTTTCCATTTGGATTTTCTGTCCATCTTTTCTGGTTGGGATTTTCTGTCCATTTTTTCTGTTGGGATTTTCTGTTCAGGGTTTTCTGTCCAGCTTTTCCCTTTGGATTTTGTGTCCATCTTCTCTGTTTGGTGTTTTCTGTGCAGCCTTTCTGGTTGGAATTTTCTGCCCATCTTTTCTGGTTGGGATTTTCTGCCCAGCTTTTCTGGTTGGGATTTTCTGTCCATCTTTTCTGGTTGGGATTTTCTGTCCATATTTTCTGTTGGGATTTGCTGTCCAGCTTTTCCCTTTGGATCTTCTGTCCAGCCTTTCTGGTTGGGATTTTCTGCCCAGCTTTTCCATTTGGGATTTTCTGTTTGGGGTTTTCTGCCCATCTTTTCTGTTGGGATTTTCTGTTCAGGGTTTTCTGTCCAGCTTTTCCCTTTGGATTTTGTGTCCATCTTCTCTGTTTGGTGTTTTCTGCCCATCTTTTCTGGTTGGGATTTTCTGCCCAGCTTTTCTGGTTGGGATTTTCTGTCCAGCTTTTCCCTTTGGACTTTCTGTTCCTCCTTTCTTCTCCTGCTTCTGTTTGCACGTTGGTTGAGGGTTCAAGGTCACTCTGTGCTCTCCTGTCTCATTTCCCACCCAAAATGGGAATTTTTGCCCTTTTTTTTTAACTTTTCCTCTTGTTTTTTAGTTCAAGTCCTGAAGTCCCTGAAGGAGAGGCTGGGGCTGCCCTCTGAGCAGAGCAGTACTGAGACAGGTAAAAATTAGATTTGAAATACTCCTTTTTTGTTTTCCTTTTCCTTCTTTGCTTCCCAGGAACTCCCATGCAGCCTTAAATTGTTAATTTTAAAGGATGACTGACTCTTGATTTTACAAATCCAAGTGGTTTAAAGGAGAGGGGGGAATTTATTGTTCAGGGAATTGGGATTGTTCAGCCTGGAGGAGGAGGAATTTTGGGGTGATTTTATTGTGTCCTAAAGGGAAACCTGCAGGAAAGATAGAGAGGGAATTCCCAAGGAATGGAGGGGACAGGATGAGGGGAGTGACTCCAGATTGATGGGGTTGGATGGGATTTTGGGAATAAATCCTTCCCTGGGAGGGGCTGGGATGGAATTCCCAGAGGAGCTGGGGCTGCTCCATCCCTGGGATTGCCCAAGGCCAGGTTAGAGAGTGGAAAAAGTTAATAAAATGGGTAAAATTGGTAAAAATACACTCTGGGATATGTCCCTGCCCATGGGATTGGATGAACCCTTCCAACCCAACCCATTCCAGGATTCCCTGGGCTGGTTTGGATGGGATATTGGGAATAAATCCTTTCCCTGGGAAGAAATTCCCAGAGAATCTGTGGCTGCTCCAGCCCTGGGAGTGTCCCAAGCTGGGTTGGAGCAGCCTGGGACAGACATCCAGAGTCCCTGGATGTTTTTTAAAGTCCTTCCAAGCCAATCCCAAATTCCCTCAGTGCTGGGGGAAACTCTGGAGACGTTTCCCCCTCCTTGATCGCTCTTTCACTCCCAGGTTGGATTTTTCTGCCCTCAGACAAAGCTGCCAAGCCCATCGAGGAGATCCGGGTGAAAACCCTGGAGGAAATCCGCCTGGAAAGAGCCAACCAGAGGAGAGGGGAGCCCCCAGCCAAAATCCCAGCAGATGGAAGGAAAACTGAAGATCCCAATTTAGGAGCAAGACCCTCCTTTGCTGCCCGCTCCAAATCCCTGGCAGGAGCCCTGGTGGAAAAAAACCACAAAAGTTTGGGAGACGAGAAGGAAAAACCTGAGGAATTCAACAGCAGGGCCAAAAGTGAGGCTGAAGGCAGGAGACAGAACATTCCTGCTCCAGCTGTGGCAGGCAGGGTGCAGCTGGCAGAGCCTGGCAGAGCCAGGGGAGCCGGAGAAGTTCGGATCAAAACCTTGGAGGAGATCAAGAGGGAGAAGGCGCTGAGGATGCAGCAGAGCGGGGAGAACGTTCCTGCTCCTGCTGCTGCTGCTGCTGCTGCCCCAGCCGAGGCTGCCCTGAGGGGCAGGAGGCTGCTGAGGGTCACCAAGCTCCTGGGTGAGATGGGAACTGGGGTTCCTGTGGGAATTGGGGTGCTTCTGGGAGCTGGGGTTACAGACTGGGGGTTGGGGTTCTCCTGGGAGCTGGGGTTCTTCTGGGAGTTGGGGTTCCATCCTGGGGATTGGGGTTCCACCCTGGGAATTGGGGCGCTTTTGGGAGCTGGGGTTCTCCTGGGAGCTGGGGTTACAGCCTTGGGATTGGGGTTCTACCCTGAGGATTGAGGTTCCACCTGGGAATTGGGGTTCCACCCTAGGGATTTGGGTTCCTTTGGGAATTGGGGTTCCACTCTGGGGATTTGGGTTCTTCTGGGAGCTGGGGTTCCACCCTGGGAATTGAGGTTCTCCTGGGGATTGAGGTTCCACGTGGGGATTGCGGTCCCCTGGGAACTGGGGTTCTTCTGGGAGCTGGGGTTCCATCCTGGGTATTGGGGTTCTACCCTAAGAATTGAGGTTTTACCCTGGGAATTGTGCTTCCCCCTTGGGAATTGTGCTTCCTTTGGGAATTGGGGTTCTCCTTGGGAGTTCTGCTCCACCCTGGGAATTGGGGTTCCACCCTGGGAATTGGGGTTCCTCCTTGGCAGTTGTGTTTTCCACTTGGAATTGTGCTTCCCCCTTGGGAGTTCTGCTCCATGGGGATTGGGGTTTTCCTGGGAATTGGGGTTCCACCCTGGGGATTTGGGTTCTCCTGGGAATTGGGGTTCCCCCCTGGGGATTTGGCTTCCCCCTTGGCAGTTGTGCTCCCGTCATCCAGTGGGACTGAAGGAGAGAGAAAATCCTGCAGGAATTGCTTCCTGATCATAAAAATAGAGAAATAACCCCCCCAAGAAATAAAAAAAAAACAATTTTTGGATATTTTTTTGGTTTAAAGCACCTGGAAGAGAAGAAAAGATGATTGTGGAGCTGAACAAACCTTCCCCCAAAAGTGGCTCTGCAGCTTCTGAGGTGAGTCTGAGCAAACTGACAATAAAAACTTCACATTTCTGATCAATTCCTCCCCTTTCTGATCAATTCTTACCCATAGATTTTTTTATCCATAGATTTTTTATCTGTAAATTTTTTTATCCATACAATTTTTACCCATAAGATTTTTTTACCCATAGGTTTTATCCAGAGATAACTTTTTGTCCCTAGATTTTTATCCATAGAATTTTTT